TGAGAGCAAGCACTTCTCTTAAGGCTTTTCCAGCTTGTTTCAGAAGTGCAGAAGTGGAACTGAAAAAGGAATACATTGAAGCATTTGCACACCCAGTTGTAAGAAGCACAGCTCTGCCACAAGCACTGCTGTATTATGCTACGGCCCCTCTCGCTCAAGATATACAGCCCCTACGTGAACTAAAACCTGGGTAACTGTAGCCTCTTCCTAATAGCAGAGAATTGTGCCATAAAATCCCCCATGCATTGCACTGAACAACCAAGAGTGCAGTTGTGAACTTTTTCTTGCAATTAAAGCCTGCTGGTTTTAACCTCGGTGACTTGGATGTCTGCTTAGCCAAGTGTGGGTGTTGAACTATGATTACCCTTCGTGACCTACATTTGTGACCGTAGAAATAAATGGAAAAGAGAGATCTCTGGTGAAGAAGAGGATGAAGATGGAGGGGAGCAAGGCAGCAGTGGAGAAAGCGAGCCAGAGCGGAAGAAAGTTAAATCAAGAAGACCTGCCCAAAGGAGGTGAGGAGCGGTTGGTTCAGTTTCTCTCCTTTTGTCTCTGTCTTTTCTTCCTGTGCTGGGCGCAGAGGTAGTTTCTATTTGTCACTAATGAATGGGGTTTTCTTCTGCAATAGTACCCTTGTTTACGGTCTGGTGAACGTGGGACCTTGTTACTTTCTCATCTCCCCATGTCATGCACCAGTGAGTGATGCAGTGGTTTCCATGGTAGTTAGAGCAGACTAAATCCCTAAGAGCGTAATATTTGAGATTCTTTCTTTAAGACTTACTGAAATGGATGCTTACGTATAACATTCTGTATTATGGCTTTCTGTTAATTCTTATTTTAGAACAATGGCCAAAACCAGTGTTAAAAAGTCTCTCAAAATACAGCGTGGCAAGAAGAGAAAGAAAGCGGACTCATCTGAAGATGACGATGATGACGAAGATGATGAGACCCCCAAGAGACAAACTCGACGAAGAGCAGCCAAAAATGTCAGGTAGCGAGAAGGATGGGGTTGCTTGGTGATGAGAGCTGTCCAGTTGGGAAAGAAGGGGCACCCCAAATTCTCTGCCCTCGGCACTGACCCCCTGTGTGGCCCTGCAGATACGAACTCTCCTCTGCCCTGCAGATACCCATTGGCCGAGATATGGTTCTTTTCACAGGTTCATGCTCTGAACATCTGACTATCTTGTTTTGTTATCTGTAAAGGAGCGAATATTCACCAGTCCCTCTTAGAGAAACGTGAGGAGGTTTGCGTAATGTTTCTAAAGCACTCAGAGGAGATTAAGAATTACAAATAATAGATTAAAAGGAGTAAAATGAGCTGTGCTAGATTGGACCAGTTGTCTGCGAGTGGCTGATAGGTAATGCCTTGGGGCAGAGTGTTGAGACATGGTGGAGGTAGAGCATTCCCCATTCCCTAATATACCTTCTCACTTTTTGGCAGTCCTCATAAGGGACTTGCAGAAAGCCACCTGAAGAATATTTTTTCATGGCTGGATGTCCATCAAAGAAGAGAAGTGTAGTTCCTAGGGCAGTGTAGGCACTCATGCAGCCTTTTGATGCTCTGCAACTTCCGTTGTTAATCTCTCACCAGATAAAGGAGATTTCTCTGTTGATGGTCTTGCTTCTGCTGCAGATATTGTTCACCTCCTTATGAGGTGTCTGGTGTTGGCCATGGTCAGGAAAACTGTATGGACAGGATAGAGTATTGGTCTGATCAAGTGTAGCTGAGTCCTGAACGGCTCACTTAAGGAATGCATGTGCTGTTTCTCTGCGTTTCTGGATTGGGAAGAGTCAAGGACTTCTTACCAGGTTTGGTTTTGTTCTTGTTCAGTTACAAAGAAGATGACGATTTTGAGACAGATTCTGATGACCTGATAGAGATGACTGGGGAAGGAGCTGATGAACAGCAAGACAACAGTGAAACTATTGAGAAAGTCTTGGACATCAGGCTTGGAAAAAAAGGAGGTGCGTATTTCTGCAAAAAGCCATTATTTTGATGTCAATCATTTGCACTCACTATTTCTCTTGAGCTTTTGCAACTTCAAAGTGGGGCCAAGGGTTGTTTCAGTGCTCTTCACCTTTTGCTCTGTGCCTCTTATTTATGTCTTCTATCAGCTTTTGTAAAATCTAGCATTGAAAAACCTGAAATGTCAAGTTTATGTGCTTGGCAGCTTTCATTTAGTGCGCACGCATTTTAAAGGCGCAGTCATTGTTCTGTAATTCTTGCTTTACTCTTCTTTGAAATATAAAATAGATCTTCCAGTAGAGTCAGTGTTCATAGCTCCATTGACAAAGCCATGATGAAAATAAAGCCGGTGTTTTGTTCTCATAGCCTTTCAAAAGTGTTTTTTGTAAAACTGAATGGTTGTGAACGTTCTTGAGAGACCTTTCAATTATACCTAAAGAAAACACATTTATGACAGAGATGTAAAAAGACTCAGTTGTATGGAAAACTTTTGTGTGCCTGTCTTACTGGCTTGCAAATTCTGTAGAATATTCTTTGTGCTGTCACAAAAGAGAGATTATAAAAATAACTTTCTGCTCTAATGAAGTTCATGTCCTGTGCTTGATAACGAAGGTACCGACCGCAGCCTGATTTCTTTTGCAGCCACCGGTGCTTCCACCACGGTGTATGCTACTGAGGCCAATGGCAACCCAAGCGCGGACTTTGATCCTGAGAAGGATGAGGGAGAAGTTCAGTACCTTATCAAGTGGAAAGGCTGGTCCTACATCCACAGCACATGGGAGAGTGAGGAATCCCTGCAGCAGCAGAAAGTGAAGGGCCTGAAAAAGCTGGAAAACTTCAAGAAAAAGGAGGAGGAGATCAAGCAATGGTATGCTTTGCTTCAGCCAGGGGTTTGGCCTTGGGAGAGTCTTCTATAGCCAGAGGTTTGCAGAGGCGTGACTGAAAAGATATGATTTGTCCTTGCAAAGCATGTTTTATCCAAAGCCACTGTTTTCAGTGCACAACACTCACGTCTGTCTTTGCTTGCTGGTGAACATCCCCCTCATAGAAGTGATGTCTGTGGCCATGGTGTGGAAAGAGAGAGGCATATACATGAAATCCACAATATTGCCACTTCCCAGGCTTAAGAATTGGGGTAGCTGACAACAAATAAACGGTGCACAGATTCACCTGGCCCAGGAGGTGACAAGGAGCTTGCAGCCTCCTTAACTGTTGTTAATGATGGGCTTGTCTGTGAGCCAGTTTTTGCATCAGTTTATGTCCAGCCTCCCCAGGCACTGCAAGGGGAGCTACGGTGTGTTTCCAAGTGATAAAGCTGGAGTGGCAGCTTCTGTCTCTGTTTGATTCTGGTTTTGAGACTGATTCTTGCAGCAGAATAAGGCATAATTTAATGGGAAGACAGTATGAACATTTGACATTTCCTTCTCAGTAATGTTTTGTAATTATAGGAAGCATTAAGAAACCTGTCACATAAGCAGT